AAGAGTTTTGAACATACTATGGACCACCAAGAGAACAAACAGGTTTATCCTGGAGAGGGTGAAACCAGGCTCCTTGGAGGCAAGGATTTTGAAGCTCTGTCTCATATGCTTTGGGTATGTGGCCAAGAGGGACCAGTCCCTGGAGACTGACATCATGTTTGGAAGGGTAAAGAGACAGCATAGTAGAGGAAGAACCTGGATGAGGTGGATTGATATAGTAACGAGGGTAATGGGAATAGGCCTGCTGGAGAAAGTGAGGCTGGCTCAGGATAGAGCAGAGTTTAGACCTATTGTATATAGGGGTTGCTATAACTCACAGGTGACTCGATGGCACATGACAACAATAACATTCTGTACTATATCCATTCTTTGTGTGAGATGTGCTTCTGTGGCGAGTCAAGGGAGAATCCAATAAGGATAGACACCTCTGAGTTTGGTGTCCCCCAGCCTCCAAGAGGGTGTATTGGACTCAATTATGGGTGAAAGGAAACATCCCAGACTTCAGCCAGCTCAGTGCTGCCCCGAAATGATTATCCCTCCCTCCCTCTCCCACCTGCCCTCCCCTCAGTCAGCATTTGCCCAGGCCCCACCTGCCCAGGCCCTGAGGTAGGAGCTGCAGAGGGAGAGATGAGTGGACAGGCCAGGGCGGGTGCAAATGATCACTCTAGCACTGCCTGCTCCCACTGATGCTCCATGTTTGACAGCACCTATGTGCTGGGCAGCATACTCTGTGCTGGGATGTGTGGACAACATCACACACAGCTGTTGCCTCAACAAGCTGGTGGTCCTGTCCCCTCCATTCTGATGGTGACTGTGTCCAGGGCCGTCCCGTGAGCTGACCCTTTTGTCACAACTGCAATGAGTTCCCTAGAAGGAGCACGGAAGGCATCTGTGGGCTCTTTCTCTGCGGCTTTTGTCCAACTATAACAATAATAATAACAAAAGCCCCTCCCAGTGGTCATGGAGTCAGTTCGGCTTCATAGAGACCCTGCATATATCAGAGTAGAACTTTACTCCAAAGGATGCTCAATGTCTAATTTTTCTAGAGGGAGCTCTGGTGGCCTAGTGAGTAAAGAGTTGTGCTGCCCACCCAAAGGCACACAGTTCAAATCCACCAGCTGCTCCATGGGAGAATGATGGGCAATCCATTCCTGTGCAATTTATTGCCCCTGAAAACCCACTGGTGGATCACTTGTGAGTGAGTTCTGACTTGATGGGACACAACAATAACAACAATAATTTTTTTCGAGCTGACCACTTCGTCTGTCTTCTGAGGCACCTGAGTGGGCTTGAACTTCCAGCCTCTGAGTTAGCAGACAGGCATTTTCATGGTTTGTGACATGCAGAGGAGGAACAATGATAGCTCTCCTTTACTGCATGCCTACTATGAAAGACGCTTTCCTTACCATTTTTATACATATTTTCCACCGATTCATGCCAATTGAGTGGTACATAAAAGAAAGTTGAGGCCTGCAGAGGGAGAGGCACTTGCCCAGTCTCATCCTCATCCCTGTCCTGTCCAGGGAATAGAGGTCCAGGGCTGCAGGGATCGTGGCACTCGAGTCACCCACAACACAGGTGAAGATTGTTCCAGAATCAGAAGCCACCACACGCAGAGTCTTCCTCACGCTGGACATCAGCAGACAGAAACGTGCAGGAAGTAGTGTTAAAACTCAGCAGAAGGTGCTCAGCCAAATTGCTTATAAGACAAGGGGAAATGAAAGCACACTGGAGGTACCATTCTTCCTCTGCCACGTTGGCAAAGATCAAAAGTTGGCGCCAAGCCATGTGGGCAGCAGTATGGGATGCAGACTTCCTCAGGCATTGCTGGTGAGGGTGTAACCCCACATACCCTGGGGGGTGGGGGATTCCAGAAGGATCACAGGTGGGACCACCTCCTGGGGCAGGATGTTCTAGAAATTGACCCTCTAGAAACTCACACATCTGCAAAGTGAACCAGGTGTTGATTCATTTTATGGAGCTCTGGTGGCCTAGTGGCAAGAAGCTGTGCTGCAATCTTGAAAGCAGGCGGTTTAAGGCCACCAGCTGCTCTGTGGGAGAAGAATGGGCAATCTCCTCCCAGTGTGATTAACTGCTTCTGAAAAGCTGCCAAGGGTCAGCTATGGATTGGTTCCAACTTGAAGGTAGGTACCAACAACAGTAAGTAAGGGAAGAGTACACTTACTGTGAGCTTTTACTAATCTGCAGTAAACAGGTCCACCTGTTCCTCACCACATCACATGTCAAACTGCTCACTACAGCTTAGCAAACAGGCTTACAGAAGCCAGAGCTTACCCTTCTCACCAGGCGCTCTGTCCCTATCAGCTATTGGAAGTTTGAAAAGTGGCTCTGATCCGCAGGAAGGTCTGTAGGACTGGGAGAGAGACAGATGGTAGCTATAACTAGAAGACTCTCTGATGTGGTAGAAAATAAATGTGAAACTGTTCACTTCAGGTTAGTAAGCAAGCACGGGAAACTCTGAGCTCGCCTTGTTTGTTGGATACCCTGCCCCTGCCCACGGCCATGTTCGTCTGAAAGGGGAAGATTAGGGAATACTCACCTGTCCCCTGGGATGAGTGTCCGCAGACCATCGTCACAGCCCTCAGGGAAGCCAGATGCTGTCTGTGAGCAGAAATGGAGACCTGAGACATTGCTAAGGGCAGAAGTGAGGCTCATGGCAGACGTACATAGAATGCTACCACTTGGGTTAAACAGACAAACAGACAACACAACATATGCTGGAGGAAAGAGAGCGTCTATGGAATCTGCATCTGCTGTCTGTGCCGGATGAGCTGGCCCCGGCTGTTTGCCCCGGAGAGGGGACCTGGGGGACAGGAATGAGAGGGCTCCACTTTCACATTCAAGAGATTGATTGTATTTGGAAGCTAAACATTGACGTCTTTTTATAAGAGTTTAATTACCACCAGTTAGTTTTCTAGAAAATCATTCCAAGTCTGAGTAATTAAATGCTGTCTCTTGTGCTGGAGAAGTTGGCTGTGGTTTTGTGTTGTGAAACTTAATACAAAAACAAAAAACCACCGTCAGTCAAGATGACATGTTTACAGTAAAGAACTCAGATTCTACAAAGGAAGAAGCGGTGTGATTCGCTCGGGTCAAGAGAAAATGCAAAAATGCAGCTGCCCCGTGGGAAGGAGGTTCCTCGGCCCTCCAGGGTTCTGAATGCAGGCAATACGCAGAGTTTTCTAAATACTCTCCTCCAACTGCTGTCTGGTAGATTTCTGAATGATGGCGACCCCCAACTAAATCTTGTTGAAGTGAGGCTGGTGGATTTGAAGAGCCCATAACATTGTGCAAAATGTTATTTTCAATAAGCATAGAAACACAGGAATCAGAAAGTTATGCTGAGAGGTGTGGCCACCTCCTGCAGGTGACCATGGCACTCCCACCTGGCTGGGCCAGAGTTCACCACAGAAGGTGGATGCCTGAGGGCCAGGCCTGTGCCTGCCTTGTGTCTCCATCCCCAACCAGTTGCCATGGACTCCAACCCATGCCAGAATGAATGGAGTTACACTCTATAGGATTTCCAACAGTTGATTTTTTTTAGAAGTAGATTGTTGTTGTTGTTGTTGTTGTTATGTGCCGTCGAGTTGTTTTCGACTCATAGCGACCCTATGTACAACAGCCCTAAACTCTGCTCTATCCTGTGCCAATCTCATTGCCTCCAACACACCAATCCCAATTACCCCAGTCACTGAATCAATCCATCTCATAGAGGGTCTTCCCCTCCTGCGCTGTCCCTCCACTCTGCCCAGCATGATGTCCCTCTCCAAAGACCTGTCTCTCCTTACAACATGTCCAAAGTATGTCAGGCGAAGCCCCAGAATCCTTGCCTCCAAGGAGCATCCTGGTTTAACCCTCTCTAGGATGAATCTATTTGTTTTCTTGGCAGTCCATGGTACATTCAGCACTCTTCTCCAGTACCACAGCTCAAAGGTGTCAATTCTCCTTCTATCCTCCCTAGTCATTGTCCAACTCTCTGATGCATAACAAGTGATTGCAAAAACCATGGCCTGTATCAGGCGCACCTTAGTCTCCAGAGAGACACCGTTGCTCTTGAGTACTTTAGAGAGGTCCTTAACCGCATTGGCAGGTCTTTTTTCCAAGATGCATCTGGGTGGTATTGAACTTTCCACCTTTCTCTTAGCAGCAGGGAGCATTTACTGTTTGCACCATCTGGCCCTTCTCTCTATCCTCAGGCCTGTAGGGTTCCTGAACCACAGCAGATCTTGCTGGAAGAACCTACGGTCATCAGTGGCCTGTGAGGTGGGGTGATGAAGTTGGAGAGGGGCTGGGGGCTTAAGTCTGATGCCACAGTGTCTGCAGGGCCTCTCCCTCTGCTGGGCTTTCTTTGTCACTTCTCTTGCCTGTCTCTAGGCATTAAAGATGGAGCAACCAATACCCCCTCTCTTCCTGGGGCTCACACTCCAGAGGGTAGACGCTGATTAAGCCCAGATGCCAGTGACTAGGAGTATGAGAACGCATGTCCTCACACCAAGCCTCAGCCGCTCCACTAGGTTCCTGAGGCTGTAAATCACACAGGAAGAGATTGGCTATTATCCGTTGGAGCCTCTGGTGGATTCCAATCACTAGAGAAGTGTGGCCTTTGGGTTACCAGTGAACTCCTGAAGACTAGACAGCCAGTATAAGCTTAACTAGTCAGTATACGCTTAACTTTCAACTCACTGCCGTTGAGTTGGAACCAACTTATCCAGTGGATTTTCAGAGGCCATAAATGTCAGGGGAGGAGATTTTTTCCCTTGGAGCCACTGGTGGATTTGAACTGCCAGAGAGGTGTCACCATAGGCTTGGCAGCTCGTCTCCCTGTGGACTGCACCACCAGGTCTCCCTAGTCCATATATAGCAAGTATCCAGTTAAGGGACTGAGCACGTGTGCTTGGCCCCTGAGGCCGGGAAGAGAGGAGCTGGCCTGTCCAGCTTCCATTTGGAAACCTCTCTCAAGTTGTCTGTTTCTGTTCCAGTCGCATCAAAAGCAACGTGGACGGGCGGTACCTGGTGGACGGCGTCCCCTTCAGCTGCTGCAACCCCAGCTCGCCACGGCCCTGCATCCAGTACCAGCTGACCAACAACTCGGCACACTACAGCTATGACCACCAGACCGAGGACCTCAACTTGTGGATACAGGGCTGCAGGGCCTCCCTGCTTAGCTACTACAGCAACCTCATGAACTCCATGGGCGTCGCTGTGCTCCTGGTGTGGCTCTTCGAGGTAGGCCTGGGCCAGCGGGGGTGGGTGGCAATGGGTTCCCTGACCCCTTTGGACTTCAGATGATCAGCTCAGTCCTGGGGAGCATATCTCTTTCTGCCTCTCTGTCTCTGCCTCTCTCTTCTGTCTTTCCTTTCCTCCCTTCCTCTCTCCCTCCCTCTCTCTGTGTGTCTCTCTGTCTCTCCTTCCCTCCCTTCATCTCTCCCTCCCTCTCTCTCTCTTCTTAGAACCAGCCCTTGTCCTGGCTATGGGGTAGACAGGCCAGGCTTAGACCCCAATTCATCTATCTCTTTTTTTCTTTTATTATCTTCCCTATTCCTTAGAATAGGGAGCTCTGGTGGCCTAGTGGTAAAAAAACTGTGCTATAATCCCAAAGGCACACAGTTCTAATCCGCCAGCTCCTTCTCAGGAAGAAGATAGGCAGTCTCCTCCCGTGTGATTAACTGCATCTGAAAACCAGCCAGAGGGTCAGCTGTGGGTTAGTTCTGACTCAACCATATACACAACAACAACATCCCTTAGAATAAATCCCATTTATGTGAAACTCACAGAACCTTAAACTATTACTGCCACTTGTTGGGGAGAAGTCCGTTTATGCTCAGGGTTCTCTGTGTATGCACAGAACTGATCTGTACTGTTTCGGTTTCGAAGGCACATCACCAGTCCTGTCTTCCCAGCCTCTGAATGGGTCAAACCACCAACCTTTCCACCTGCAGTTGAGTGCCTAGCCATTTGCATCACCAGCAACTCCTAGCTTTAAACTAACCATGTGAACAGTTCAGTAGCATTTCGTGCTTCCGTAACGTTGCACAACCACCATGCCCATCTTGTTCCATAATCTTTCCTTCACCCAAAGGGAAGCTACATTCCAGCTGAAGCTGTTACCTTTTTCTTCCCCATGCCCCATCGCTTGGCAACCCGTCTGTCTTCTGCCTCTGTGGACCGGCCTGTTAGAATACAAACAGGTGGCATCAGACGATATGTGACCCTTGGCGTCTGCCTTCTTTGACTTCGCATGATGTTTTGGAGGTTCATCCAGTGCCTCCATTCCTCAATCCTGAAGTCTTGGCCAACTATTCAGCCTCTGGACCATTTGGGGATAACAGCATTTAGCTTTAGGGATGCTTGGGTGCCAAGAAGTCAGTGAGTGGGAGCTATTTGGATTTAGGCTTCTCTAGAAACAGCAGCAAGGGGCCCTGGAAGCCCAGGGGTTAAGGTGCTTAGCTGCTAACTGAAAAGCTGGTGTTGTGAACTCACCAGCTACCCCTGCTCCATAGGAGAAAGGTGAGGCCGTCTGCTCCCGTTAGTTATGACGTACAACTTCTGAGATACTGTGGTCATTACATAAGCTTTTAGATGTTTGCTACAAAAATTTCCAGTTTGTATAGATATAAACATGAATATATATATACTTTCCCCCACTCCCCCACCTCACACCCACCCTGCTGTCAGATCAGCTTAAATAGGTGCCCCTGAGTCTAAACCCCTGGGCCGCCTTCATCTATACCCACCAACATTCTCCAGTTCAGCACCAAGGACAGTGCTTAGCACTCTATCAAAGTCCTTGCTGTCAAGCTGGAACTGACTCACAGCTGATCCCCACCTGGGTTTCTGAGGCTGTAAATCATGTGGAAGGAGACAGCCCATCTTTCTCTTGCAGACAGGTGGATTTGAACTGCCAGAGAGGAGGCACAATAAACACCCCCCTTCCCCCAACACACACACTTCCCAAAGACCATAAAGCGCGGAATCTTTTCCTTTTAAAGAAGGTTCCGTGGAAGGGTACATTAAAATAAATCAGTGTCTTCAGATCAGTTGCCTTCAGGTCCACCATGATTCATGATTCGCGGCAAACCCATGTGCGTCAGAGAACTTGTGTTCCAAAGGTTCCCATGGCTGCTTTTCAGAAGTAGACCACCAGGCCAGTCCTCCACAGCACCTCTGGTGGATGCAAAAAAACATTCATCCTTTTGAGTTAACTGTTTGCATAATCCACAGCCTTCAGCACTCTACAGAAACTCACTATGTAGCTAACCCTTCTGCTGTAATACATCTATTCCTTTTTATAGTTATTCTTTTTTAAATTCATTGTTGCACATATTCTTTCCCCTTCCCCCAGCCCACCCTGAAATACACTCCTTGTTCCAGATTGTTGTCACATGCAATATATCTATTCTAATTCATTTTACGAATCTAGAGTATGGCTGCTCCTCTAGGAAGTCTTCTTTAATGTTGAGGAAAACACAGCATATTCCCAGACCTGACCTTTACCACCCTGGGCTTCTCAACCCACTTAGGAAATGAAACCTATTTAACTTATGAACTAAAAGGAAGACCGTTGTCAAGTAGGAAATTCATGGAGGAGTTGACCTGTTTCAGGAAAGTAGGGGTGGAGGTTGGAGTGTCAGAGTTGGCAAACTCACACCAAGAAGACTTCCTGGAGGAGGTGACTTCTTTCAGTTAAAAATATTTTGTAAAATTTTCAATGTACAATAACAAGAATAAAAACTTTATCAATGGTTATCATCCACAGGGAGCTCTGGTGGCCTAGTGGGTAAGGAGCTGTACTGCCAACTCTGAAGACACGTGGTTCAAATCCACTAGCAGCTCTGCAGGAGAAAGATGGGCAGTCTCTTTTTTGTGCAGTTTACAGTCTCTGAAAACCTGCTGGATTATCAGCTAAGAGTTGTGACTCGATAGTGCCTGACAACAACATCAGCAACATTATCAACTTCTCCCATAATTATAAAATGTCCCCAAGACTGGTTTGATCCTTCCAGCTGCTTTTCAAGAGAAAGGAATTGGCAATCTGCTCCTGTAAATTTTACAGAGACCCTGCCATGAGCTGATGCTGTTCTAGGTGCTGGGATGTTGGGTGACCATGACTGGTGGGTGATGTCCTTTAGTGGGCCTGCTCTCCTCACAGAGTGTCCTATACCATAAAAGGAGACAGAGAAAGGCAACAAACAGGAAATTTGTGTAGAAACTAGTGGCTAACAGAATATGTAATCAGGAGCGTGGAAGCAATAATTAACAATCACAATCCTTACAAACCACAGCTTACACTTCCCTCACACCTTTCTGTGTACCAGGCAACTGAGCACTCGACATACATTAATGCGTCACGTGTCCACATAGGTCAGGCATTATTCTACTGAACATCTACAAACCAGGAGAGTAAATGAGGCTGGGTGGCTGAACGTCAGAGCTAGGGTTTGAGCCCAAGAATCTTGGCATCAGCATCTGTGCTACAATGACTGACAGTATGCACTCCAAATGCTGCATTACTAGCATCTATTTGGGCATTCATCCTCCCACCACCAGACTAGTAAAAATTAAAGAAGGGAGACCATGCAATGTGCTGGTCAAAAGGAGACTTTTCGTTCTGCTCAACAGATAGTGACAGAACACCTGATATGTGCAAACTCATTGGGGCCAATGGTGCAGGGGAGCAGGACACCACAGTGCATGGATGTGAGACTCTGGTCTAGAGGAATTGAGATGTGCACCAGGAACTGCCTTGAGGGTTAAGGTCGAATGAAACCTGTGCATCAACTTGATCTCAAATCCTTGTGACAGTGGAATAGAGTGCAGAACTGCCCACTGGGTTTCCAAGGCTTCATAGATATGGAAGCAGACTGCCCCATCTGAAATTGGTTAGCAGTCAGGTAGTTGGCCCTTCTGCCACCAGGACTCTTTGAACCTAGATCATGCAGGTGAGTACAGTGAGGGACAAAGTTCCAGGCTGAGAGATCAGCGAATGGTAAGGCCTGGAAAGAAGAAAGGCTGACATGTGGGAGGAGTTTGAAGACTGCAGGGTGGCTGGGTGGGGAGGAGATGGAGCACCACATGAGCTTGGACAAGAGCGTGGGGTCCCAGTGGGCAGGACAGCCCTTTGCTAACCCAGGCGCGACGGTAGAAAAGAGCCTGGTGGTGCAGAAGCTAAGCACTTGGCAAAAGGTCGACAGTTTGAACCTGCTCTCTGCACCACAGAAGGGTGTACCAGTCTTTCCTAAATACTGTTGTTAAGGGCCCTGGCACGCTTCCGCTGCACTGCTCTGCTCACACCTCAGCGGCCTCCAGTTGGAACGACTCGTAGCTGACCCTCTAACAGGTTTTCAAATATGGTAAATTACATGGGAGAAGATTGCCCACCTTCATCTCTTGCAACAGTCGGTGGATTCAAACCAAGTGCCTTTGGGTTGGCAGGGCAACTCCTTACCCACCAACTCACGACAATCTTGTGAACAACAGGATGAAACACCACCTGACCCCGTGCCGTCTCCGTCACTGCTGGATTTGAGCCGGTTTTGCAGCTGCTGTGTTAGCCAGCTCATTAAGGGTCTTCCATTGTTTTAGTTGATCCTGTACCAAGCATGACGTCCTTCACCAAGGACTGGTCTCTCTTGATAGATGAAGTCTCACTATCCTTTTAAGAAATGTTCTGGCTGTTGTTCCTTCAACACAGATTTGTTCTTCTGACAGCACATGATATAGTGAAGTATTCTGGCCAACACCATAAATCAAAGGCATCAATTCTTCTGTCCCCCTCTCTCCTGCACATATGAAATGATGATTTGTGTTATGTGCTCCTTAATTCTCAAACTCATCTTTGTATCTTTGTTTTCCTTTTTAAGCTGACTCTCCAGAAGGATTTTTTTTGTATAGAAAATATGCCTTATTTAGAATGCACGCTTTGATGGAAACAGACTGAGGGTCAGTTGACGTCAGCCTGATTTTTTTTAACCTTTTTTAAAAAATGTTTTAAAATTGTTTTTTATATATGTACCATCAAATTGGATCTGGCTGGTACAGGAGGAGATTGTCCCTCCTTCTTCAGCAGAGCATCTGGTGGATTTGAACTGTGCACCTCTGGGACTGCAGTGCAGCTTCTTGCCACTAGGCCACCAGAGCTCACCTAAACCACTTTCAAGACGTCTTTTGTAGTAGATTTGCCCGGTGAAATGTACCCATTTGATTTCTTGCCTGTTGCTTCCTTAGGTGGTGATTGTGGATCCAGGTAAATGAAACAATTTCATTCTCCATTTATCATGATGTTAATTATCAGTCCAGTTGTGAAGACTTGCTTTTACTGTGTTGCGGTGTAAGCCTTGCTGAAGGCTGCAGCTACTGATATTCATGGCACTTTAAGCCTTCTTCACTTTCAGTCAGCAGGGATATTCCATCTGCCTGTCACAGCTGAATCTTCCCATTCCTGATACTGGTTCTTCATCTAGTGTACATCCCAGATCATTTATTTGCTCATTAAACAGATTGGATAAATATGGAGAAATGGTACAATGCTGACACATACTTTTCTTAATTTTAAACTAGGAAGTATTTATAGGTTTTGTTTAAATGATTGCCTCTTGACCTCTGTACATATTTCTGCACAAGTCCAGTTGAATGTTCTAGAATTCTCATCCTCTACAATGCTACCATAATTTGTTATGATCTACATAGCAGAATGCCTTTGCATTGTCAATAAAAAACAGGTAAATATCTTCAGAAACTTTTTGCTTTAGGTCAAGATTTACCTAACATCAGCAACGATATCCCTCATTCTACACTTCCTTCTGAATCCATCTTGAATTTCTGGCCATTCTTTGTTGCTGTACTGCTGCAACTATTTTTAAATTATCTTCAGAACATTTTGCTTGTATGTTACACTAACAGTGTTGGATACTTTCTGCAGTCTGCTGGACCATCTTTCTTTGGAAGGGATGTAAATATGGATCTTTGTCATTTGATTGCCTAGGTACTTGTGTTCCAGATTTCTTGGCACAAAGGAGTGAGCTTCCAGTGTTGTCCAGCTTCATTGAAACAACTTGATTACTATTCTTTCAGTTCTTGGGGACTTTGTTTTACCCAATGCCTTCAGTGCATGCTAGACTTCTTCCTTCAGTATCATTGGTTCTTGATCTCATTACCTCCCGAGACAGTGAAACACTGACAAATCCTTTTTGGCATAGTGACTCTATGTATTCCTCCCGACTTCTTGGGATGCTCCCTAATTCGGTATTTTCCTCCTAGAACCTTACAATATTGCAATCTGAAGCTTTAAGTTTTTTCTTTAGTGCTTTCAGCTTAAGAAATGCTGAAGCTGTTCTTCTCTTTTTGTGTTCTAACTCCAGGTCTTTGTACATTTCATTGTATGACTTCAGTGTTGTGTGCTACCCTTTGAAATTTGTTCAGCCCATTTTCTTAATGTTTTCTATTTGCTTAAGATACTGCAGACTCAACAGCAAGTTTCAGAGTCTTTCACTTAGTCTTTTCTTGTCATTTTAACGACCTTTTGCATTCTTCATGTATGATGTACTTGAGTTGATCCCAAGGGCATGTGTGTTCATCAAGACTGTTTTTGATGTAGTCTTTAAAATCAGGTAAAATATACTCATGGTTCTACTATGGTTCTAATGGACTTGGTTCTGTTTTTTGTTTTTTTCCACATCAACTTGAACTTGCATAGGAGCAACTGATGGTCTAGATGTTCTAAAGCTGGCCTTGTTCTGACTGACCATATTGAGCTGCACTACCCTCCCTTTTCACAGACACAGTAAATTTGATTTCTGTGTATTCCACGTGGTTAGGTCCCATGTATAGTCATTGTTCATGTTGTTGGAAAAAGGTATTTGCAATAAAGTTGTTCTTGACAAATCCTACTATGCAATCTTCTAAGTAATTTCCATTATCAAACTTATCTTTTCCAACTACCAATTTTTTTATTTTCAACTTTTGCATGCTTGATCAATTTTAGATGACAGAAATTGGTGGTGGTGGTGGTGGTTGTGATGTGCTGTCAAGTCGCCTGCCACTCATAGTGACCTTATGTACAACACCAGCCCTAAACTCTGCCCTAGTGTACCAATCTCACCATCTCTGACACACCTACCCCCGATTACCCCAGTCACTGAATCAATCCATTTCATTGAGGGTCTTCCTCTCCTGCGCTGACCCTCCATCCTCCCAAGCATGATGTCCCTCCCTCCCCAAGGACTGGTCCCTCCTTGCAACATGTCCAAAGTATGTCAGATAAAGCTTCAGAATCCTTGACTCCAAGGAGCAGCCCTGCTTCACCCTCTCCAAGACAAACCTGTTCATTTTCTTAGCAGTCCAGGGTATATTCAATACTCTTCTCCAACACCACAACTCAAAGGCGTCAATTCTCCTTCTAGCATCCCTAGTGGTTGTCCAGCTCTCTGATGCATAGCAAGTGATTGCATGACCATAGCCTGTATCAGATGCACCTTAGTCTCCAGAGAGACATCGTTGCACTTCAGTACTTTAGAGAGGTCTCTAACTGCAGACTTTCCCATCGCAATACGTCTTTTAATTTCCTGGCTGCTGGAGCCAAGAGTGTTGACTGTGGAGCCAAGCAAACTAAAGCTGTGAACAATCTCAATCTCTTCACCATCCATCATGATACTGCCAATAGAAGTTGGTAGTAATCTTTGATTTCTTCATAATTGATGTTAGCGGCTGGTGTGTAAATGTAAGTAATAGTTGTGTTAATTGGTCTTCCTTGTAAGTGTCTGGATGTTATCCTATCATGGACAGTGTTGTCAGGACAGATCTTGAAATGGGCTCTTTTTGACCGTAAACTGCAACATTATTCCTCTGTCATTTCTGGCGTCCTAGACTATCTGATTGAAAATGGCTAGCAGCAGTAGTCTATTTTAACTCCATACTGGTGAGGATATCAATCTTTAAGTGTTCTGTTTGATTTTTGATGACTCCCAATCTCCTGGATTCATACTTCATACACTCTATGGTTATTATGGTTATTAATGCATGTGTACAGCGGTTTCTTCTCATTTTGAGTTGTTCTGCATCAGCAAGTGAAGGTCCTGAAAGAGTTGTTCATCCACATCATTAAGGTCAACGCCAATTGAAGGGCATCCCAACCTGATGGCTCCTCTTCTGATGCTGGACTAGACAATTTCCCACTAATTTTTATCATGTTTTCACTAGCTAATTTTTTTCTCATTTTTTTTAAAGGAAGTAGCTTGCTGGGTCCTTCTTCCTAGTCTGTCTTAGCCTAGAAGCTCTGCTGAATCCTGTCCATCCTGTAAAGGCCCTGCTGATATTTCAAACACTGGGGGCATAACTTGCAACATCATGGCAACGTACAAATCACCACGACTGACAGATGAGTGGTGATCATGGATTACAGCCTGGGAAGTCTTACAGGGCTGTCCCACCCTGGCCTGTGGGGTCTCTATGAGCTGAAATTGACCATGGGGCAGTGGGTCAGGCTGGTTGAGGGAGGTACAGGGAGTCATTGGGCGGAACAAGTGGTTAACACAGTCAGCTGTTAACCAAAATGCTGAATGTTCAAATCCACAGTTAAGTGTCTTGAAAGAAAGATTTTACAATTTTAGAAAAACTAGCCATTTAAGAGCTTAGGGAACAGTTTTGTTAAGTAAATAGAGATCAGATAGGTTTGGGGACTCTGTGGTACATGACGTTGAGTGAAATTGGTTCAGGGGCAGGTGCTTGAGGAGTAGGCTGGTGACCCTACTGGTCACTTTCCCCTGGTCTCCTGTAAGTGTCCTCTTCTCCTCGCCAGGTGGCCATCACTGTCGGGCTGCGCTACCTGCACACGGCACTGGAAGGTGTAGCCAACGCCGAGGATCCGGAGTGCGAGAGTGAAGGCTGGCTGCTGGAGAAGAGCGTGCCGGAGACGTGGAAGGAATTCGTGGAGAACTTCAAGAAGCTGGGCAAGAGCAGCCAGGTGGACGCTGAGGGAGAGGACGCAGGCCAGGCCCCAGGGGCCGGCTGAGGGTCCTGGGCCCCCTCCCCTCCTGAACACTGAGAAGTAGCCGACTCCAAGAGATGCGGACCCCCCTCGTCCAGCTGCGCAAGCCTGAATCTCCTGAGGAGGGCGCCATCCTCCAGAGCCTCATCTTGAGGTGTAGGGTCTCTGGAAACATTTGGTGAACACTGTTGAACTGTATGAACGAGTCCCCACCCAGGCCCCCTGCCCTAGGATATGCCCTCATGGTGCACACAGGGGAGTGCCCCCCCAACTTCTTCCACAAAGGGCAGCTCACAGAGCATAAACAACACACTTGGTACTTGGTACAAGAAAACAGCCCACCCTCCAGGTCCTGGCTGCACTGAGGGCAGCTCCCCTTTTGAGTTTGCCTGTTATGAGCTTGAAGTTGCTTCACACCATGGTCAAAAGCATCACTTGGAGTCTGAAAAATGTACTGGCTATGTTGTCACTTAAAATTTTTTTTAATGCCAAGATTGGTTTTTTTTGTTTCCCCCCATTTGTTTAGTGGTGAGGGGGTGGGAAACTGTTAACGCTTTTCTAAGAACAATGGCCACTTCATCAAAACGTTGAGGGTCCTCTAGGAGACTAACCACTGGGCAAGAGAATTTTCAGACGAAGGAGTGTTTCCCTGCCCCCAAGCGCTGTTGGAGCCTGCTTTCTATCACGTCCAGTTGGCGGTAGGTGCAATGGTCAAGGTTGACTGATGGCAGGTTCTAGCAATGCACAAGCCCTGAAGTGCAGGGTGCTTGTCCTTGGCTTGTCTATTAAACGTTCAATGGGCTGTCTCGCTCCCCTTCTGTAAAGTGCACAACTCAGAGAAGACTTCATTCACTCATTGGAGAAAAAGCTTCACTTCTTTGGGGACCTCAGGCCACTCACACAGGTGGCTCTAGTGGCAACTGCAGCCCTAGATGTCCACAGTGGAGGGGGAGGAGTTGGAGACACTATTTTCTTCCAGACCCTCATTTTGCAGTGCTTGTGGAATGCCCCCACTTTGAGGATCTTTTTAGAGGGCCCATCACCCCAAGCCAGCAAGTGCAAGAATTTTCTACTTCCCTCCATTTAAGAAAGCAAGGCTGTAGGGGAATGACCTCATTGTAACCAGACCAAGGCAGAGCTAAGCATATTGTGGCAGGTGGATACGCAAGATCCTCTTCCCCACGTGGTGGAGACCAAAGCTGGCTGGTGGACAGCCTCCCTGTGTTTCTGACTGAGCTGTGGTGGTTAAAGAGACTACTTTGGATTAATTTTGGGTTCACTGGCATCCTAAGAATTTTCATTGTGGAGCAACGACTTCTGGTGCTGCCTGGGTTATGTTCCAGGACTTTAATTCCCTCAGGCAGACCAGGTCACAGATGTTTGGGACCCTTGTTGGACTCAGCTTAACGAGATTTTGAGTGTCCTGGAGATCAAGTAAAGAACCATGAACCACAGTGAAACAGCCAAGGGATTCGGCCCCCTCTGGTAAGGGCCCTGAGCTCTCCCCCTCTCCTGTCAGGACTGCAGAGTGTAAGTGCTGCTCCGGGCCCATGTGTGCACCTGTTAACAGCTTTACAATAGGCATTAAACATGATACTGTGTGAAAAGAACTTCTGTTAAATGTCTGAGCCCATTCAACAGCAGGCACTATAGCATCCCCCAACTCTAGGTACTTTTTACTACCAAAGTAAGAGGGGGGAAAAATTACATAAAAAACCGAAGCTTTGCTAAAAGTCTAGGGTGCTGTTTCAACTACAGGGTATCTATCAGCTCTTGCTTTATTTACAGCAATGACAAAATCATCCCAGCATTTGCTCGAGTTTAGGCAAGAGCTGAATTTTTAATATGTGGGCTCTTGGGGAGCCCGCTATTTGAAATAATTGTTTCAAAATTATCATTTCTTTACACGAGCCTCTCTGGAGCCCAGTTATGGGGAACACATGGCAGCTGTGACCCTGAGGTCTGGTGGGAGGACTGATGATAAATGTTCCGAATTGGTCCAGAGCAGATGTAGAATTGACAGCATCTTAACAGGCTTCCTTGAGTAGCCAGAGAAACCTTTCTTCTGAACACCGAGCAGGGACCAGCAAGTCTCTGGCTCCAGGTTCTTCCTTGGACTAACCTCATTCAGCCTTTCCTTGGGCCAGTGCATTCTTGCTTCTCCCAGGGACTCAGTTTTGTTTTTTTTTTTTTTTAAGTTTTGCTGACCTGATTTGCAGTGGGGTAAATGAAACGAAAACATTCACTTTAAAGAAGTAGGTGCAGCTACATTTTCTGAACATTCAGAATGCCCTAGGAAGTGAGGCCTCTGCTCAAAATCCCAGAGCCTCCTTCCTGCAACATGCTTCAAACCCAGGGCTGAGCCACCAGCAAATAAACCCCAAGTGACCTCAATACAGGTTGATCAGATTAGGAGCTCTGTGTCCCGTCTTCTCTCGTGCGAGCACCTGCAATGCTGGACCAGCAGGTTTGCAGCTTAGCCAAGGTGGGGCTGCTTCAGGACAATTTTGGTTCTCCCAGTGAAACTGGCTCAGGACAAGGGTTCAGAGCTACTGCACACAGGGTTGCTACACATCGCAAATGACTCAGTGGTATATCAAAACAGTAACATACTATGACAGATTTGGAAGCAGGAGTGGCACCCACTTTCTAAATAGCATGCCTCTGGAAACCCTATGAACTTTGATACATGTTGATAGTTGTAGAGTAGCTTCAGGCCTTTTGTTCATAGGGTTGCTATGTGTCATGCTTGACTTGAAGGCAATCAACAACTTAGAAACAGATGGACTTTTGATGAGTGGGGCCAGTGGACAGCTCTGTGTTAGGAACAGAATGTGCCTGTGGGATGATACGGAAATCCAAGGGAGCTCGTGAATGCCTTTCCAAGTCTTCTCTGGATACAAGACTGGCTTGAAGGTATTAACACAGTGGAATTATACAACCTTCAAACCAGAGGACGAGCCTACACAGCAAGCTGGACAAGAGTGAATGTTGTGCTCCAAGGGTGGTACTGAGGGGAGGATTAAGATGAAACACTTCCAGCTATTGAAATAAAATCTAAGGCTCACACAGAAGCCTGTACTCAATAACTTATAACTGCCCCAGATCACCCAGCCTACCTGCACTTGGTAGGTGCTCAACGGAGCACCACCCAACAGTCAAAAGGACACATTAAGCGGTTCTAATAACGTCATCTTTTTAGTGACAGAAGCCGGGCCCCAAATGCTTGATGTCTTCTCTCCAGGAGGATGAAGAGCATGGCAGGGGGACTTGGCTGACCTCCCCCCATCTCCCCAGATGCTGCCCAGGCTTCTCAGTTTAATGTCTTCCTTCTAGGAGAGTGAAGAGCATAGCAGCGCTCTCACAGCAATGGCCCACCTAGTGTTGCGTCCTCAGCTTCCTCCTGTTTTTGGTAAGTGGAGAGCGCAGGAGAAAGGACGGGGACCTGGAAGACATCAGCTGAACATGAACACAGGAGTTAAACCTGGAGACGGGCCCTGGTGCTGTGGAAGAGAGAAGTCTGGTGCCTGTCTCTGTGCTGTGAGGTCTCTTAACTGCCAAGCTGGTGGTGGGGCAGCCTCGAACAGGGAGTCTGGTGGTGGGTACAGGCTTGTGCTGTAAATGCAGACATGTAGTTCTAGCCCATCAGCTGCTCCCTGGGAGAAAAATGGGTGATCTCCTTTTGTGCGATTTACAGCCTCTGAAAACCTGCTGGAGGGTCAGCTATCTGCCAGTTTTGACTCAATGGCACAACATCATTATAATGGTCCAGAAAGGTCACAAACTGTCAGTCAATGAATATGAAACATAATCGGCTGAAATGCTGATCAAACCTTTTCTGGGAAGGTCAAGATGGCCTGGCTAACAGTCATAATTGACGCTAATAATATAAGCATCTTAAATTTCAAGCTAATACAGGTGCCTGGCTTTATTTATAGCAAAGTGACACAGGGAATACTGCTGTGCTATTTATTTAAGCATGACAAACAAGACAGAAAAAAGATGGGGGCCAGGACAACCCCAAGTAATGTCAACACCTAACACATTTATTTGGATATCTTTAAACTTTTTACATATGGTACATTCCAAATTTTACAAGTTGTCCACAAATATTAAATTTATAGTCAATTTATTAAACAGATATGATTTTCCCTGATATGGAAAGCAAGTTATATAAACATTTCTACAATAAACATAATACATGCTGAATAAATCATAAAATTAAGATGATTAGAGGGAAGACAACTAGCTTAACCATGCACACACACCAGAAGGTAAGTGTGTGCATGGTGCTATTTCATGTAAATTCATATTCTCTCAGACTCCCTGACATTCTCAGAGAATGGACACGAGGGGCACCCTCTGCCTGCTAAAAGCAGGCTTTCATGGAATTGGTACTACAGCTCCTGAGACGGGCCTATAAGCCACGCACAGAGGGAAAACCAGGCCTTAGAAATTTTCAATTTCAGCTTAGTGAACATATGGAGAAAAGCCAAAGGACACTGGACTTAAAAGCTACGGGAACTGGGATGTGGCAGAGGCCAAAATAAATTTTAAAATTATTATGCCACCCACAAACAACCCAATCTTGAGAATGGAAAGAGGACAGAGAGTGAAGTATGAATCAGGATTTCCCTCCTGCTAGTCCTCTTCTCAGCTGGGTGTGTCAGTCCCAAGCAAGAAGGAATGAGGTTGCCCTCTTAAGAGGCAGCGGTCCCCCCACATTCTGCCTTGGAGCGGGGTTCAAAATGCCACCCCTACATCCTGGGTGTGCTGTGGACAGTGCAAAGCTCAGGGAAATGGAATTTGTGGATGCAGTTCAGAGAAAGCTGTCTTAAAAGGGTGGCCTGCGTGATAAACAAAATGCCAAGAGGCAAAACCACACATTCATCACTACGCTCAGCCTTTGCAAGGTTCAGAGTTCATTATTGGGCCGCCACCCTTGGTGAGTATTCAAGCTTTCTGAGAATGCGTATCAAACGAGTGTCTGTGTGTAACCATCATGGCTGTTTTATTTTACTAAGCGGCTATCACTCTAGGAAGGCACCTCTTAGTAAGAA